TTAGCTTGAAGTCAACAAAAACTGATTTCAGTTTTTATTTTATTTTGTTTTGTTTTGTTTTTCGAAAACAATTTTTTAGAGCATTTGACAACAGTCAAACCATTACACACACCAACGTCATGCAACAATATCCTCCCACTGTTTACACATACAAATGCTCAAATTCAGCTGCATATGTTAAGGGGCGTGCACACTAATATGCACATCTATATATCTGTAGTTGCCCACAAATGTTTATGTAACAAGCTATGTGAGCCTTATTGTTGAAATTTCGCTTAAAGGTTTTTGCTATTTGTAATTTTATGTTGTTTTTTTTCTGTTTGTTAATGCAACAAGAACAACAAACGTTTCATTAAACCGAGGAAATTTAAAAACAATAAAATCTTGTGAAAATCACAAGTTTTTTGTAGTAAAAGTACGAGTTATTGAAAAAATAAAAAAGTAAATGCAACGAAAAGATCAGCACGTACAACCCCATCTTCGATTGACTAATCTTCACCAAATCAAAAAAATTAGATGAATTTCAGTATTTACCTCATACTGAAATTCATCCATCTTTCAATCCATTTATTAATTATTACCTTTAACTGTTATTCTTTTTTTTTAAATTTCCTTGTGTTTTGAATTCTTTTTTTATTTTCAATCCTAGTGCCAAAAAGGTGATAGATGAAAATAAGGCTATGAAAAATTAAACATATCCTCTATATTCTTTAGTTAATAAATTAAGCCAGAAATTAAGAATTACTTCATTACAAACTGTACTTAATAATTTACAGTACTCAAAGTGTACTTAAGTTATTTTTATATTTCAATGAAAAATATTTGCTGAAAAAAGGTATTTCCTATATGAAGATTATTTAAATTAACTAATTAACTTGTTTAATTAACTTTAATTAACACAAATTTTTTACTAACAACAGAGTTTACACCAAATTTTTTCGAATGGTTGATCGAATCATTCATTTTCGATGAGTATATTTATAATCACCTGAGTATATGCTATGATTCATAAATCTTTCGCCATTTATGCTACTCTACTTAGAAATGTGTACACATTCTTGTGAAGCTTAATCATTAGCACAGAAATTTGTTAACGAATATATTTTATTATTAAGATTATTGTGAAAAGAAGTAGTGCACTACGACCTAAAAGATCTATTTGATCCTGAGTCGGATTAGTGTGTTGATCCAAGTCCGATTTTTTTAATGAAAGACAGTATAGAGCCTATCTTTCCTAGTCTTGAATCCTTATGATCTATGAAATATCCTACTAGACGTTTCCTTCGCTTGTGCATCAGTGCCGGACACTCCCCAAGCACATGGTATGCAATTTCACTCTCTTCTCTACAATATCTAAAGTTTAAGTTAATCTACAGTGACCAGTCAATAATCCCGTAATAAATTTAAGGTTATTCTTTGATTGTTCTATGCAAAATTTGAAGCATTTTAGGTTGTAAAAAGAAAGAGAATTCTAATGGGAAAGGTTACCAAAACCGCCACAATCTAAAATGATGTCAGTCCCTAAAAGCATTTTAGATTGTGGTAGTCTTGGTGATCTTTTCCAATAGAATTCTTATCCTTATTCCTCTACGCCCTTCATAACAATGGATAAAGTAAATAATATACTTATGAAATTATATTAAGTTTTTTATGAATGTATTCTGTGTGTTAAAATTATAACTCGTTGCAGTTCTCTGATTAGTAACTAAACCCCTGCACATATAAAAACAAACAAAAGCCAAGGGTTTATAATAACGTAAATAAAAAACAGAAAAATGAGTAAAAGAAAGTGACATATTAATATAAACTATAAAAATTATTTCATACAAAATTTCTCAAGAAACTTTAAATATTTGTATATACTATAGAAAACTAGTTGCATAAAAAAGATTCGGAATACAAATGTAGAAACCTTTTGTATCAATATAGAGGTAGATATTGAATGATGTATAGCTTGAAATCAATGAATTCATTCATGGGAATGTATACATTCTATAATATAGCTGTGCTGTGAGAGTGAATAATAGTTTAACATATGAATAAAACAGCCATATTCAATCGAAACTATTATAGTTGCTATTTACTAATTTGGTAAAACATATTTTATTCTGATAATACTTAGAATATTTTTAGTCAATCCAATATTCGCCGAAATAATGTACAGGATACTTCAATAAAATTGCGAAAAACAAAATCATTCTATAGGATTAGCATTCAATGTTATAATCTAATACGAGGGTGGTTTGATAAGTCAGTGACTTTTTGAATTTTCCGTGCAGAAGTGCTGCCGTCAGCTGTAATCTACCAGTGGGCAAAACAGACAACCTCGTGAATTTTTACGAAAATGGAAAAAAGTGAATTTCGCCACTTCTTTAGGTTTGGAAACAGAAAATAGTCGCAAGGAGCTAAATCTGGAGAATATGTTGGATGGGGTAGCAGTTCGTTTCCCAATTCGTGGATTTTGGCCGCAATGCTTAATCAGCACACGAAATTCACTTTTTTCCATTTTTGTAAAAATTCACGAAGTTGTCTGCTTTGAACGACTATCAAACACCAACTGAATGACGTAGCTTACTCAAAATGAAAAAGTTGCCCACTGGTAGATTACAGCTGACGGCAGCACTGTTGCATTTGGAGTAACTGCGCGGGAAATTCAAAAAGTCACTGACTTATCAAACCGCCCTCATATATTAACACACATTCTAATGTCTATTCGCACTCTCTTCACTTTCTTTTTTTATGTAAAAATAAAGCAAACTGAGGTAATTGACAGATTATCTTAACCTGCGTCACAAGCTGAACAGAATGGGTCATTTTAAAGTGACAGAATATGATTCCTCTTCCAAAATGGACGTTGTTTCTAATCACATTTTTTTTAACTATTAAGATCTGATCTGGGACAAGAGAAAAACTCTGGGAGAGAATTTTCTGGTTCAATGTTACCAACTTCTCAATAAAGAATAATATTATTAAATAACCTTTAATTAAAAATCAGAAAATCTTTTTTTTGATTGGGGTTACTTGTAGTATAAAAGGCAGACTGTGATACCACTAAAAGCTATTTTCTATATTAATATTATATTTTATCAATTCCACATAATACTTCTCCAATATAATAAAAATTTTGTATGAAATATTTTTTTAATATTTATAGCATTTTATTTTATTTAAGCAAAACAATATACAATTTATTAATAAGAATTTTATAAAATTCTTCAAAATTTATTATTATTAACAAATTGTGTAAACTTTCTGACGACTCACTTAGAATGCTCTACATGAAAATATTTTCCTTAGATTATACACAGCATTTAATGAAGTATATTGCTAATTATGATAGCAATATATTTTAAAAATAATTTTATTATAGCAACAAAATGCAAATTTGAAGTATTTAATTTCTTGTTCGCTTACAGAACAAGAAGAAACTCGAAGTTTTGTAAGGCAATCGCATTATTGTTGTACTCATTGAAATAATAAACCGAAATGAAAGCAACAATGAGTGCCGAATGCTCGAATGCTCGAATAATGCAGAAATAACAACTCAAATGGGAATTTGTAGTAATAATTTCAATAAAATGCTTAACAGAACACAAGTGTAGTCCCATAAAGTGAAATAGGCGGGCTGAAGTGGGTGTTAGCTTTCAAATATACAATATTTTAATTGAATGCTGCATAAGCTTGCATATAATGCAACCTTACATATACGCGCGTAAGTGTGTATGTGGGTATGTGTGTGCGCCAGTAGCAAAACTTGTTATTGGCTTTAATGCCTTTTTTGTTTTAATTTTGTTGTACGTAGTTTACTCAAAATTTTCCAAAAATTATTTTACTTGTGTTTGTTGTGTAAAATGGAGTACTTTCAATACATGTATATGTTTTGTTTAAGGCACATTTATTGTTGTTGTTCCTACCATTATTTGTTGCTGTTT